ACGGGGAAGAAGAGGCTGGAGAGCGGCGAAAAGCCAAGGAGTTCCTGCAAGCGGTCTTGGCCCCATATGGGTCCTCTGCGAGTTCTGCTGCAGCTGCAGCTGCCATACCTGCCAGCAGCAACAGTAGCAGGGCGTTGTTGGGGGAGCAGCTGCATCGGAGTCGCCAAGGCCTGTTGGATCTGGAGAGGAGCAACGAGGCTCTCGCCTCCCAAGTGCAAGAGCTGAAGGAGAAGATCCGCGGAGCGGAGCAAAACGCGGATCGGCTCAACAAGCAGTTGTTGTTGCTGGGGCGTCCTCAGAATTCTGCCCTTGCGGCTGCTGAGGAACAACAACAGCGTGAAATGCAGGAACAGCTGCGCCAGCTGTACATACAATACGCCCGCAGGTCTGCTGTCTGCGACACACTCACTGCATCAGTGGAGGCTATCGCGGGGCGTGCGGAGGCAGCAGCAGCTCAGAACAGGCTTCGCCTCCAGGAAGCCAGGCAGCAGCTCCAGCTGGAACAATCTGCAGCAGCTTCTGCCACTGACACCCAAACTAACGTAAGACACACCAGGACGATAGCGGCGACTTCGTCGCCCAAGCGTTCCCCACGCAGTCATTCGATTCCGGATCGCTGGCCAACCCGTCCAACGCATTTGATACATTGCCAGTGATAATGGGCGCCAGCCGCTCTCACTGCAGCTGGTCTGGCTACAGCAGCAGCAGCGGCGATATTAACGTCCATTCGCTGCATATTATCCTTACATATATTTCCTCTAGCTCGTGCACGTGTGAAAGGATTCCAAGAGGTCCTGAGGTTGGTCAGTAACTGCTCGTTTGCTACGCTCTGAATGTCCCATAGTTGCTTGTTCGTGTGCTGCTGTCGCTGCAGTGTATGGACACCCTCTGCGGGGGAATGTCTGAGGAGATGGGTCTGACCCTGGCCTCCTCTGAGCAACTCTGTACAGAAGGCAGTGAACTCGACCTCGCCGGTTTATAATCTACCAAGAGCATTGGCTGCCTGCCAACTGCCTCGCATCTGCAGAGACTCCATTTGAGATCCTAAACACGACCGAATTTTGCAGCGCTACCCTTCGCACAGCGAAAGCTAGCAAAGGCTGCTGCCTCAGTACGAACAGCTGGCTCAGGTACTTCAAGCATGAAAAAAGTAACAGATCCCAAGAAGCGTCTTAAAAAGCCCTCTGAGTGAAATAATTCGCAAAAAAAGACATTATTGTTGCTGCGCCCGACGCGCTAACCTGTGGTAGTTGGCTGCGGCGCTGATCGCTGCCGATGTTTCCGCTTGACACCGCGGGTTGCAGGGTGTTTCTGCGCAACAGATGCACGTGGGGTTTTGGCCTTGGAGGTTTTATCGTTGGTCTGGACTGCCTGCTCCTGCCTTTTCTCTTTCTTCTTAGCGGCATTGGGGCCCATGGCTCTGTCGGCGCTGCCAGACGCCGTGGCCTCTGCACCGTTGGGCCCTTCATCGCCCCCTGTTTCGCTTTCCTTTGCTCGCTTCTTTTTGGCGAGAGAGGCGGCGATAGCCCAGGCGCGTCTCTTGGCCTTCATGAGAACTGCTCTGAGGGGTAACGGCAACATACCACAACACACAAAAAAACTCAAAATGGGTTTTAATTAAAACAGGGTTTAAATCCATGACTCGCGTCTGAGTTGCAGGAATAAGCTAGAAGAACAACAGGCGGACAGGGCTATACGCTCTTACTTTGCAATCGGCCGTATGGGTTTACGACGACGGTGAGATCCCATTTTGCTCTTGGGCTGTGCATTACCCATGTACTTCTTTCGGCCCTTGACCTTCAGGTTGCGAGTTAGCTTAGTGCTTAAAAATGTGGGAATTTTGCTGTTCGGGCTCTTCTGCATTATTTGCACTATAGGCCTCAGTCTGGGCACGTCGTCTAAAGTGAAGAAAGTCAGCGCCTGAGCGCGCCAGCATACAAAAATGTGCCAGCACTGAGCATTGATAGACGGACAAAGGACAATAGGCATACAAGCAAATAGACAGCAGGCCAAACCAGAAATAGCAAACTAGCAATAAGGGCTAAAGCATGCAAGCGCACAGGAAACCAAAAAGCAAACAATACATGCAAAAGAGCAAATCATGCAAACAAAAGACCACTCAGGTACTTGTAGAGAGTGTGTTTCTAGACAATAGCTCAGAGGTGCACAGTAAATAACTCGTCCCTAAAAGCCGCACGTCAGCGGCTAGAGGACGTATCGATCCCGAAAAGTAAGTGAACCAAAGTCCTCACCTTCCCCTCCTTGCCAGCTCTTCCAGTTCTGCCGATGCGGTGTATGTACACCGAAGTGGAAGGGGGTAGGTCGAAGTTAATTACGAGGGAAACACCTTTGAAATCAATGCCGCGCGCCACGAGGTCTGTGCAGATCAGGAACCAAATCTGTGTCCACAAAACGCAGAAAAGGCCAAATTAGGCACTGCGCGCAGCCCTTAAGAGGATTGTATGCAACCCTGCCTACGCCTGCCTTACAGCCGCAGCTGGCTAAGTAGGCTTTGAATAAGTTCCTCGCAACCTATGGGGCCGGGCTACCCGGGAGTTGGCTGGCGGCACGAGGCGAACTGCAGAACTGCATGCTGCTAGCCATGGCACGCACATACATGCATGCACGCACTGCAGTTAGTAGCTGATGCACCAACACACCTTCCCAATCCTGAAAGCGTCTACGGTCGCATCCCTCTGTTGTTTGCTTTTTGCCGCATGCAACAAGTCAACTGGCAGCCCCTCTGAAATCATTTCCTTCAACAGCTCGCTTGCCCTTTCTTGCGTCTGCGCGCCAAAACTCAAGAAAACAGAGAAGCACATCAAAGGAAGTAACCTCCTTTTGCCTATCGCCGCAGAACACATGCAGCTGGGGCCCACAAGATGCATGCAAAAGGGTGCCCGTACTGGGGAGAAAATAATTGGTGGTACTGATACGTATAGCCAG